ATGTGGTCAATTACGCTCATCTTTTCTGTAATAATTTCTGCCTCCCATTTTGTCGTAATGGGAACCTCCTTGGACTTCATCATAGCCACCACCTTGGTCTCCCAAAGTAGCTGCAACCACTTTGTACATTTTCAGTCTCAGTCAATTTGTTCCCCCTATAGCCACCTCCCTCAGACTTCAGCTCATTCTCATTCTTCACCAAAAATATCCTAGTAGGCAGTCTGACTGGAATATGTAATACACATATAAAATAAGGCTAGAAAGAAAGGCTGGAGTCAGGCTGTGAAAGGCCTTAAATGCCAGGATAAGGAATTTATATGTTTTCCTAAGATCAACATGGATTTTTGAGCAAAGGACTGACATAGACCTATGAATTAGGTCAAACCTAATTAAGAAAATTAATCTTCCAGCTGTATTAGAAATGAATTAAAGGACAGGGACAAAACCAGTTAGGAGGAACTATTACAATACACCAATTGATACGTAACTAAGATCTGAATTAAAGTGATGGCAGTAAGAGTAGAGAGATGAGGCAGACATGAAAAACTATTCTGCATGCAACACTAATAGTACTAGGCAACTGACCGGAAGCGAAGATTTAAGAAGAGGGGGAGTAGATAAACAAACTAAATAAAGGCAAAGTGGCTAGAAAGTTAAACCTGGAATAAGGAGGAATTGATTTTAGATACTGCCCAGGACATTTACCAATCCCTTTAACACCACCTAACTCCCAGAGCTGTTGTGGGGATAAAATGAGAGAACATTTGCAAAGTACTCTGTAAACCTTAAAGCTCTACAGAAATGTAATCTAACTATTCTTCTTCTATCTAAACGTAAGCTCATATCTTGTTTGATTTCTCCCTACACTTTGCCTCTTTAGGACATCTAATCCCTCTATCCCTCAGTACTTTCTCAAGCTATGTACCCTTGCTTTGACTTCTCCACTTCCTCCCTTCTCAAACCTAGAGCTAATTAGCTCAACTCCATACTGTACTTGATGATCACATCTCTGGCTCTTTTGTCCTGGCCTAATCAGAACCTTATATTACTCCCATCACTCACCTCTGCAACTCATATATCATGTTGATGAACAGAGCTGGTATAGTAGATCCACTAAGATTCATAGCATCTAATCTTAATTGGGCATTCTGCAATAAGGTAACCCTTTCACTCCTGTTTGAGTGGTTCCCTATCTCACTCCCAATAGAGGCCATTCTAAACCTCTCCTCATAACCTTCCACAATCTCAGTTCTCACCCTTACTGAGAAAATGAAGGCTATCCTCCTTGCATTCCCCCTTCTTACCTTCTCTTCATCTCAAAAAGCAAAAAACAAAAAACATTGCTTATACTTGTCCCCCATTTCCTTGCCATGTACTGCAATACACTCCCCTTCTTTTCAATATGGCTTCTGACTTCATCACTCCAATGAAAATGCTTTCTCCAAAATTACTATCCAGGGGCAGCGAGGTGGCACAGTGGATAGAGCTCTGGCCTTGGAGTCGGGAGGATCTGAGTTCAAATTCAACCTCAGATACTTGACACTTACTAGCCATGTGACCCTGGGCAAGTCATTTAACCCCACTGCTTAGCCAAAAAAGCAAAACAAAACAAAACAAAATACCCACATAAAACTTTACCATCCTTTCTTAAATGCCAAATATTATGATCTTTTCTCAGTCCTTCTGGACTTTCAACTGCATTTGACACTGTTGATTACCCTTTTCTCCTAGATACTCTCTCCTCTCAGGATTTTTGTGGTAATATTCTCTCCTGGTTTTTCCCTTTTAGCTTCATTTGATGACTTGTTGTGTGCCAGGATACCAAAGAAACAGGGAGACAGTGAATTAACCCCTTAAACTTCAACATCACCAACCAGGGCTATTGTGAGCAAGAAAACTGTGGTGAAGGACCAAAGAATTATAGATTAACTATGTTTTACAGACTGAACTGGGACCTATGAGCATTTTGGGCAAGAAGAATATGAAAGTGTTTTTTAGAACTTTGGTAGGGAGCTCCTGAGAATCCAGGAATCTACCTTACCAATTGCAGTTTTTAATCTGTTTTTATCTTACTGAATTGCTTTTTAACCACACACTGAGAACTGGTTCTACCTGGAGATATCTGAATATATTTTTATTAAATGTACTTGATCCATTGCATTAGATTTAGAACCAATTGAAACATGAAGCATAACATATCATTTCCCCTATCAGTTGGCATACCCCAATGCTCGTTTTTAGGAGCTTTTCTCATTTCTCTGTCCTCTCTCTTTCTCTCTGAACATATTAGCATCCATAGATTTCATTATCATCTCTTCAGATAACCCCCAGATCTATAACTGGTCACCTCTCTCCTGAGCTCAAGTCCTCTATCATCAACTGGCAGTTGGACATTTAAAACGAGAGATGCCATAAACGTCTCAAACTCAAAGCTTCTAAAGCAGAACTGGTTATCTCTTCCAAATATTCCTATTTCTGACCTTAGCAAAGTCATTTATCCTCTGTAAGCCTATCTCTGCATATGTAAACTAAGAGGTTTAAGTTCCCCTTTTTTAAGGGAACATATTAAGTTCCCTTCCAAGTCTAAGTCCCATGAATCTGTAAGTTGTAGATAAGCTGAGGATCTGAATTGGCAGAGGGAATTATCATACCAGGTATTCTCCAAAACTTATGAAATCATAGGTCAGAAAAACAATCATATTCAGAAATTTACAACAATTTTTGAAATTTTCTAAAAGATTTTCATCTTGAAAATGATATTAACAAAGGTTTCTTCGTCTTAAATGTGTAACATCTGTGACTTTTATATCCCTTAAATCAATATGCAAAAGAAATATTCTCTATTTTTAATAAAATATGAAAATTTACATTGGTATAAGACATAAAACTAATATCATAATTTGTAAAAATATAAAGTTGCATGATGAATTAGTAATACTAATCATTCTAGAACTGTAAAGGAATGGTACTGTCCACAAGTAACTGAATTTTATATTGTTATGAAAACTTTAATTTTCATTATTTTGGATGGAAATCTTGCCAAAATAGATTTAACTATTATTAAAATGGATATAATACCCATTTAATTTCTCCTTGGCTATAAATATTTATAATGATGGTCACAAATGCTTGTATAGCCAAAGTCTCACTAAAAAATGCTAACATATATTTTTTCAGTTGTTATGTTGTTTACTTTTTTTCATGGTCCTCATTTAAAGTCAGGCTATCAGCTAAAATTTCTTCATACTATCTGTATGTCTGTCACCCTTTCCCCTTTAAGATGATGTAACATGAGAAATAAGTACAGGTGTTTGGATTGGACTATATGTTTTCAGAAGTCCCAGACAACTCTGAGATTCTCTGATTATGAAACTACTCAAGCAAATTTTTTAATGCTCTATTGCAATTAAAAGTTAATAGGAAACTGGGAGAACAAGGAGTAATTTACTTGTCAGATTTATGGAGAATGGAAGAATTTATGACCAAACAAGAGATAGAGAAGATTATGAAATACAAAATGGATAATTTTGATTACATTAAATTGAAAAGTTTTTGCACACACAAAGCCAATGCAACCAAGATTAGGAGGGAAGCAGAAAACTGGGAATTTTTACAACCAGTGTCTCTGATAAAGACTTCATTTCTAAAATATATAGAGAACTGAGTCAAATTTATAAGAATGCAAGTCATTCCCCAACTGATAAATGGGTGTATGAACAGGTAGTTTTCAGAGGAAGAAATTAAAGCTATCTATAGTCATATGAAAAAATGTTGTACATCACTATTGACTACAGAAATGCAAATCAAAACAACTCCGAGGTACCACATCACACCTATCAGATTGGCTAACATGATAAAACAGGAAAATGATAAATGCTGGAGAAGATGTGGGAAAATTGGAACATTAATGCATTGCTGGTGGAGTTGTGAACTGATCCAACCAATTTGGAACTATGCCCAAAGGGCTATAAAAATGTGCATACTCTTTGACCCAGCAATACCACCTCTAGGGCTGTATCCCAAAGAGACCATACAAATGGGAAAAGGACCCACATGTACAAAAATATGTATAGAAGCTCTTCTTGTGGTGGCAAAGAATTGGAAATTGAGGGGATGCCCATCAGTTGGGGAATGGTTGAGCAAGGGGTGGTATATGAGTGTAATGAAACACTATTGTGCTATAAGAAATAATAAGCAGGCAGACTTCAGAAAAACCTGGAAAGACTTACATGAACTGATGCTGACTGAAGTAAAGAGAACCAAGAGAACATTGTACACAGTAATAGCAGCATTGTGCGATGACTAACTTATCTCTTCTTAGCAATGCAAGGATCTAAGACAACTCCAAAATACTCATGATGGAAAATGCTGTCCACATCCAGAAAAAGAACTATGGAGTCTGAATGCAAATCAAAGCATATTATTTGCTCTCTCTCTTTTTTCGGTTTCTTTCTTATGGTTTCTCCCATTGATTCTAATTCTTCTTTACAACATAACTAATGTGAAAATAGGTTTAATATAAATGCATATGTTGAGCCTACATCAATTTACATGCTGTCTTGGGGCAGGGGAAGGGGAGAGATGGGGAGAAAATTTGGAACTCAAAATCTTATGGAAGTGAATGTTGAAAACTAAAAATAAATACATACATTTATTATTTAAAAAAAAAATAAGATTTCACTGGAATCTGAGGGGTATTCCTAGGAGTAAAAGTGTTATCTCTTTAAAATATAGGCTTTTTACATCAATTTGGTTTCTTATTTCAGAGTTCTTCTTTATATTCTGGTCAGCTGTGGTTACTGGGTAGGTAACCTCCATATAAATGAAGCATTAATAAACATTATTTTAGCTGATACACAATTAGTATCATGTGGGGCAAGAAAGAAGGAAGAGAATCCAAGGATAAACCTTAGGATCTCCAATTAGCTCATTTATTACATAATTTGAATAAATAAAAATATTGCTCTATAGGACATAAGTTTTAAAATTGTTACACTTACCTTAAGTAAGACTCCATTATTCTATCCATTCGTTTATAGAAGGGTCTTGATGTAAAATATCCACTCCAATAATGATCATCTCTGTCAGCATATGTGAAGAAATCTCCACTCAGAACGGGAAATAATGATTTAGTAGTTTTTTGGTGTTTTGTATCTACTTTATGCAAGGCATCAAAATAATCGGATAAAGTGCCAAATTGAATCTGTTTTTAAAAAGAAAGTAATATAATAATTATTATCTTCAACTAATAGTTCAGGAATTTTAAAGTGGGAACAAAAATTTCAATGATAAGTGTTTGGGGTGAAAATACTGCTTCAACACATACTTTGGATAATCAGAGGCATTTTAATAAAATGTGGCAAATACTAAATAATGCTTGCTCTCTTATTTATAACAAATCGCAAATTACCAAAATAGATTTTATATGCACCTAGTTTGAATATATGCACAAAACTGTTGGAAAAAAATTAGATGCTAAAGTAAAAACCACTTAACTTCTAAATGTATGGTTCTTAATCTCTCTATCTGAAAGTGACAAGTAGGAAACCCAGAACTCAGGATTTTGTAAATCAAGACAGAAAGAAGGTGAGAAACAGAATATTACACAAGTTTAAGAAATAACTCTGATTAACAGGCTTCAAAAATGTGAGAACTTAAGGTTTAGTGGAAAGGAAGATCTAATAGGGCAACAAGTCATAAAAAGAGATTGTTTAGAAACTATTATCTGTCCATGAGAATAGCATGAGTACAAAATATAAACAATGAAAAAATGTGATCCAGTTATCCATTTAAAACAACATAATTAAATCAAATTTTACTGACTAGTGATTAAAACTGTTTAAATTTTTGAAAAGCATTTGCAGGTGACATTTAACTTTAATACATACGAGGGGAAAAACATGGGCTTGCACCTGACAGTCTTTTATAAATATATTAAAAACATGCAATGTATACATTAATGGTATTTCTATGGACACTCCCTAAACTAGGGCTTCCTAATCTTTCTGGTATCAGAGACCCATTCTCACAATAACAGTTTTAGATTCACAAAATAAAATACTTAGGCTTATAAGAGAAAGTGATTATACTGAGTTACCAAAATATTTTTTTCCCAAACTCCAGCCCCCCAAAAAACAGTAAGTTCATGAAAGCAAGATTTAAGAATCCTTGCTTTATACATGTAAGTTAGTTATCCATTTCATGATCTCATAATTTTTGCATGCAATGCATATGAATAAGTATATACACAAAAATCATCTGTCACATTTTTCTTGCTTTCTTCTTCATTAATTTTCTACAAAGTGAAGAGTAAGTTCCAATGAGAAACCAACACCTTCAAAATTCAGAACCTTCATTTGAAATGTAAAGGAATACTATAACCGTATAAATGCAAGCAAATCAAGAGTGCCTTGGGAATCAAATTCTATCTATTCACTTAGTATTGCTTTGATAAAGGAGAAGTCACTCTGGAGTGGCAAAAGCCTGAAACACAAGGCATATGCATATGTAAGGATTTTAGCAGGAAGGAACACAAAGCAACAATCAGAAAGGTTAATAAATATGGAAGTAAAGTCACGAATAAGGTTCAATAGGAATCATTAGACTAAACAGGTGGAAGTCTAGTTACTATTTGAATTACATTAGCAAATACAAAGTCATTTCACCTCTCTAGGTCTCATTTTCTTCATCTGTAAAATGAAAAGCGTTAGACTAGGAGATATCAAAGATCTCTTCTAGCTCTAACATTGGGTACATATAGGACAAATAATTAATGGTTACAATGGAATGAACACCTTTTCCAAATGCTTTGATTAAAGGTTGCTATTAGTGTGCAGGCTGATATTTCTTTTTTGTCAGATTAAAAGAAGAGTGATTTAGGCAATAAATTAAAAAATCAGAACAACAAATTTAAATTAAACTGTTAAGATACAGCATAGACTCTGTTTTTACCTTTTTTTTTTTTTTTAAAATATGACCAGTGTTTAACATAGTGCCTGGCACACAAGCAGTTGCTGAATAAATGCTAACTGAATTAACATTTAAAAGAAAAAATCATCTATTGGTATCACAATAGATTAAAAATACAAATAAAGACAAGATGAATTTTTCAATTGATGCTTGGTGCTCTGGGCTTTTAAATAAATATCTAAGATATCTGATATACTGATTCTTTATATAAGATGTGTATCGTTTTAAATTATTTTATTTTGGTTCTCTGGGTAAAAAAAGGAAATTATATCAATAATTCAAGTTCTCAATATTTACAACTGTGCATGAATATGTGTGTTAAACACATGATAAATACACATTAATGCCAATTGCAACTTGCTTCATATAGTATTGAAATGAAAAGCTTTTTCCACTTTCTCATTAAGAGGATGCTCTAAGTTGAGCATTTCTGATCACCTGAGAGCAACACAACTGGATTTATTCTCTCAGCATCGATGTCACATTCATGTTAAGCTCATCTACCCCAACAAAAAACTCAATCACATGAACAAAAAAAAAAAACCGTCAAGAGAAAAATTATACCATTAGAATCACTATGCCCTGATATTTTCAATCAAATAAGAGGTAAATTCTCCACTCCTTAAGAAAAAAAAAATCAGAACCCAAATACAAAGTTTTTTTGGCCAATAAGCATTTACAATACTTACTATGTGCCAGGCACTGTGCTAAGCACTAGAAATACAAAAAAAAAAACAAAAATTTTTTAAAGTCCCCACCCTCAAGGAGTGTACTTTATCCTGGGAGAGACAACAAGTAAAGAACCAGGCAATATGAGACAAACAAAGTAGATGAAGGAAATCTGAAAGGGGAAGGCATAGGCTTCCTGGAGAAGATTCCCACCTTTTAAGTCTAGTCTTGAAGGAAGCCAGAGGAAACTAAGGGGCAGATGCACAGAGATGGGGAGGTAGAGTATTCCAAACATGGGGCCACAGATACAAGAAATGGAAGGCTGCATTGAAGGACCTGCAAGTTAAGCTTGCATAGTTCAGAGATGTCCAACTCAGTGTAGTTCAGAGGTGTCAGCCTCTTAGTATTATGGTTTCTTTCAGCCAGAACCAGTTTGAAATGGAATTGGGAAATGTTTAGCAAAATACAATACAACACAGATAATGCTAATCTGTGTTTTTCTAAGTCAACATAGAGCCCAGAGAGATCCCTTTCTATTTGAATCTGACTGGCATAGTTGGATCATAGAGAGTATGGAGAAGAATAAGGTTTAAGAAGGCTGAAAAAGCAGGAAGGGAACAGGACATTAAGAATTTTAAATCCCGGACAGAGGACTTTATATTTTATACAAAATCTAAATTGTAAAAAAGAGAGAAATGCAATGCAAAGAAATTAGAGCAGTTTCATTAAGAAACCTCAACTTTAACTTTATCATTTATATCTAAATATTTTCAAATTACCTTGACATGTAATTCAGGCTGAGAATTCAAATAATCAAAAATTCTCTGGTAATTCTGGTACTGCTGATCCCATTCTGAGCTTTCACTATAACGGAAATCATCTCCTAGAGGAGCCAAGAGCACTTTAGTACGGAAAAGTTTTGACTTCTTTCTGTACTGGTCTAACAACATCCGTGCCCTTTAAAAACAAAATCAGTTTAATAAAATTTAGAATAAGGAAAAAAGTCACTGGATAAAAAGAAAAAAAAGTTATAAATACTGCAAAATGGTACATGCTTTTTATATGTGTACATGAGACAAAAATGGTAGTAATAAATGAAAGATTAAATTCCAATATAAATAAATTTGCTGTAAGAATGATATATTTTAAATTTTTTATCTAACTCATATACTTTTATTTCACATTCATTTCCAAATATATCTCTCCTTTCCTCTTCAAATCTCTAACCTCTCCAGTCCTTGGGGGAAAAAAGGATTTTAAAAGAAAACAGTTTAGCAAAACCATCCCATTTATCAATCATCAAACATATTAAATAATTAATGCTCATAGTTCGCCATGTCTCCAAGAAAAAGTGGGAGTTAAATTTTTCTCTGCTCTACTCCAAAGTAAAAAAGTGATAAAAACATAACATTCCTTTTCTTTTTTATTGTTCTTTGAACTTAGAATGTTGTAGATACTGTATATTTTGTTACTCTGGTTTTCACTTAATTCTATAATCTGAGGTGTAGAACTGCTATTCACCTTTCATTCCTGCTTTTTTCATTATTTCTCATAAGAGTCTATTCCTTTTTTTTTTCATCTCAAATGAATGTGACGTTCCTTAAGCTCTGACCAGCTTTCTCTCTCCTTAAGTGACTACAGTGGCCAAATTAGTTCCAAGATCAAATAAAAATTCCAGTGCATGGCATTTAAAGTCCTTCCAAAATGTAGCTCCCACTTAGTTATATATTACTACACCTACACACACACACACACACACACACACACACAGGCTATGATGAAACCAAACTGGTCGTCTTGTTTCTCACACATGACATTCCATCTACAATCTCCATAGCTTTAGACTTCATGCCTCCCATTCCTAGAAAGCATTCCTTTCTCACTTCCACTCGTTATTCAAAATACCAATACTGTCTCCCTACAAATCTGTATCTTTTGCTTAGGTTTCCTTTATTACAATTTTTATTACTTTTTGGCTTACAAAGGATAAGGTTAGAAGTTTTGCTTTTGAAAATTTATAAATTCTTTGCATCCAACATGAAGACACTATGTGAGGCAAAGAAATACATTTTGTTGTGTTGTTCAGTCATTTCAATCATGTCTGACTCTGTGACTCCCTTTGGGGTTTTCTTGACAAAGATACTGGAATGGTTGTTATTTCCTTTTTCATTTCACAGATAAGGAAACTGAGGCAAACAGAGTTAAGAGACTTGCCCACTGTCTGAGACCAGATTTGAACTCAGAAGGATCAGACTTCCTGACTCCAGGTCTACCATTCTATCCACTGCACCAACCTCGTTGCTATTACGTTCAAGGAGATACCATAGGTTTTAGTTATCTAAACTCTCCATCATTTTCTTCAACTGTTTTCCTTTTTACCTGTTATATTAGCTCTAAGAAAAGATATCTATTACAAATACTGCAGAAATGATGTTTTTTTGCTATTCAGTTTTTTTTTTTTTTACTTTATTAAATCAGATACTACACTACTTGGTATAAATGCTTAGTTAGTAATTGTTTTCACCTGTGGTATCTTTAAGTATAATGTAATTTCACTAGCTATCTCTTGATATTGTAAATAATGATTTTTGCTTGTCTAACACCATGGTAACTCCTACTTTCTGGAACCACCTACCAGAGTAATTGTTTTTCAGTTATTTCCATTTTTTATGAATCTGTATTTTCTGATGTTTTTCTTAAATATCGCAAATTTTTCTTATCCATTCTGCCATTGAATTTCATTTTATTCAGATGTTTAATCTATTCATGTTTAAGGTTATGATTATTAGGCTTGTGCTTTCCTACATCTGTGACTTTGGTATTGACTTTTCTTCCTTTCTTTTAAGTGAGCACTCTGTCCCTGCAAATAACTTTGCTTCTAGTACTTTAATGTTAGTCTTTTCCCATGGAATCTTCTCCCTTCAACTATTCACATTTACCTGTCTTATTTAAAATCCTATTAATTTACTTAAATGGTTAATTTTATATGTGTCATCTATCCCCATACACTTTTCAACCTTTCCTTTGCCACCTAGAGAAGTATATGATTCGAAACTGTCCCTTTCTGTGATCCTTCCCTCTAATATCTTAACATTCTGGTTTGGCACTCTTTAACAAAAAAAAAAAAAAAAAATTCACTTAATTTGTTCTGCTTTTTCTATTGACTTTGATTCTGATTTCTGTTTTCCTACTTGTGCCTTAAACATTCTTTCTCCAATATCAAATTTGAGTGCCCTCCTCTTTCTTATTTCTAGGTTATTCCATTTCTAGAACTTTCCTAATCCTTCCCCTTGAGCATATTTAAATTTTATTTTTATTTTCTTTTAATGGGACCTTTTATTCTTGACTATGCTTCATACTTAGAAATATTAATTAATGAAGCAAGTTGTGTACACAACTTGCAGCTGAAAACTTCCATATGTGGGCTCCTCCATTAGATTGTGAGCTCCTTGAAAGCAGTCTTGCTTTTCTATATGTATCCCTAGTGTGTGGCACAGTGCTTTATACATAGTAATCACTTAATATAAACTTTAATCATTCTTTCATATGGTGGGAGCTACCCTAAATACTGGAACACAGGGCCTGCCCTTACAGCAATCTCACTGCTGCTACGCATAGCCATAGCTCTAGATGCACACTAGGCTTGGTAGGAATCATATAGATAGATAGAGATATACAGATATGTTTCTCTCCCCTACATTAAAGGATCAAGGGATTGGAAGGCATGGTATAGACAAAGAGGCAGATTCTGTAAGGGAAGGCAGAGGGAGAAGTAAAAAGCCAATAGATTACGGTTAGATAAGGGTAATGGAGTGCTCAGGCCCCAGCCCTAAGATCATGCCTCTAGAAATCTCCCAATTTCTTAGTAGGCCCCTGTCTGTGAGAAAAATTTTTTTCTCGTTGCAGAACACAGAGGGGTGCCTGACCCAAGGTGATGGCAAGATCAAGGGTATGACCACCATTATGTGTGGCTGAGGTAGGGTGGAAGAGTAGCTAGTGGGAAGTAAGCAGGTTGAGGAATTGAATCCTTAGGGTTTTGGAGGGAGTCAATATGTATGCTGAAGTCCCCTAGTATGAGGGCAAAAGTTGAAGAGAGGAGAAATATTGCTAAGCATGTAAAAAACTCATTGAGGAAAGAAGAGGAGTGACACCTTGAATCTATAGACAACAACTACTATGATTTGGATCATGTAGTAGATCTGAACAGCATGAACCTCAAAGGAGGAGATGTTACTGACAGATAGAGGTAGAAGAACCTGGAAGAAGTATTACAACTCCCTTGCCTCAACCAGTTAACTAAGGAGAATGAATGAAGGTTCAGCCAGTACAGTTCAGCCAGTAAGGTTGTGTCATCTGACGGAGACAGATTTCAGTAATAACTAGCAGACAGAAGAAGTGGGAGAGGAAAAGATTTAGGATAAAAAGAAGTTTGTTACCTATAGAACAGGCACTCCATAGGGCAAAGTGAAAGGGCTAAGTGGTATTCAGTTAAAATTTGGGGGTGGGAGGTTTGGAGGGGGTGTTATGGCGAGAGAGGCAGTGGAAAACAGAATTTACATAATGATCTACACATTTCAGAATGACTGGGATGTGAAGGGTATGACCAGGTGTGAGAATGTTCAACACCGAGTCACTCTTTCCAACAGATGCTGGAGATCAGCTGAAGGCACATGCAGCCTAAGATGGGAGGTAGGAAGTCAGAGAGGGGTCTCAGCTTCTCTACTCCTCTTCCCTCTTAAGGGTGTAGATTAGGCAGAAAAAGGGTGAAGCAGTCTAACCTGCACAACAGAAACTTCTTATTCTGCCAGATCACTTCAGCCCTGAAACTCACACTTCTTCAGGACTCTTTTCCTGAGGCTCCCTACTCCTACAGATTAGAGGACAGAGACCTCTCCGCTGTGGATCCAGAGCTACTCCACTTTGAGAATCACCTCCATTTTGTTTACACATAGATGTTTTGTATGGGGCAGCTAGGTGATGCAGTGGACAGAACGCTGGACCTACAGTCAGGAAGACTTATTATCCTGAAGTCAAATATGACCTCAGACACTTATTAGATGTGTGACTCTACGGAAGTCGCTTAACCCTAGTTTCCTCTTCTGTAAAATGAGCTGGAGAAGGAAATAGCAAACCACTCCAGCATCTCTACCAAGAAAACTCCAAATGGGGTCACAAAGCATTGGGGACAACTAAAAAACAACAAATATGTCTATATTCTCCCATTAGTACTTCCAATGCAATAACCCAAAATAGAAACAGCCTAATCCCTCACATCTTGTTATACAGAAACCTCTAATCCTAAAACTGGTAAAGATCAGCCTCAAGCCCCAGCTACAGGGACCTAGATCAATGAACATTTACCTTATCCCCACTCCTCTCCAGACTTACAAAAACACTGGTCCTTCACTGAACAGTGTGATTCTACTGGACCAGGAGAGCCACCCTTGCTGGCTAAACTCGAAAAACCTTGGTTGGCTTACAAATTCCTGGTCCAATTACTCCAATTATTCCTGTCCTTCCATACCTCTGAGAACCTCCATTTGAGGATGGAGCCCAGACCAGTCATCTCTTCATATCTCAAGTAGCTGTAACTCCTCTGGACTTCTGCATCAAACAACCCCCTGCCCCAACTTGTCCTATCTCGCCACTCCTGATTTTCTGTTTGGGTTTTTTGTTGTTGCTGTTGTCTTTCCTCATTAAATTATAAACTCCTTGAGGGCAGAGATAGTCTTTTGCCTTTTTCCGTATCCCTAGAACTTAGCTCAACGTCTGGCTTAGCAGGCACATGCTTAATAAATGTTCAAAACCTAACTGACTCACTTTCTTCTTAACTCTCTAGAGCAGAGGTATTATATATTCAGCCCAAAGACCATGCAGCCCACAACACTTTTGAGTACGGCTCAAATGAGATTAAGATGTAATTGGGATAATCTTTAACAGAAAAATAAAAATACAACAAAACACAGATAATATTACATTTTAAAACTAAGTCTCATGTGAGCCTCAGGGATCTCCACATATGGATTAGTAGACCCCATTTCTACATCACTGAGTTTAACATCACTGCTCTAGAGTTTGGCTTCTCACCCAATCATTCAGCCCAAATTGCTCTATTCAAAGTACCAATGATCTCTTAATTCCAAAATTCAATAGCCTTTTCTCAATCCTCTCATCCTTATTGACCTCTATGTAGCCTTTCTGTTGATCATTCTCCTGACCTTAATATTCTCTCTCCTTTAGATGTTTTTGTGATACCATCTGCTTCTGGTTCTTCTTCTCCTATCAATCTGATCCCTCCTTTCCAGTCTCCTTTGATGTATCTGCATCCCTGACACACTCAATAAACAGGTGTGTCCACCAAGACTCCGTCCTGGTCTGTTCCTCTTTTATCCTGTGCCATCTTCTTTTCTCCCCCTATAAATCTTCACTTGGTGATCTCATCAGCTCTCATGGATTTTAATTACTATCTCTATTTTGAAGATTCTCAAATCTACCTATCTCAGAATATTCATTATCTTTCCCCCTAAACTCTACCCCTCCTACTGCCTTCCCTATTATTGTAGAATGCAACATCATCCTCCTATTCCATCAGGTTTGCAATCTAGAGGTCCTGGACTCCCCACTATCTTTCATTCCCCCCATATAAAGTAAGTTGCCAAAGTCTACTGATTTCACAATTGCAATATACAGTACACCTTCTCTCTTGTGATACTGCCATCACCCTGATGCAGGCTCTCATCACCTAACATCTCAACTATCTCAATAGCCTCTGCTGTTTGGTCTGCCTGCTCCAAATCTCTCCCCACTGCAATCCAAATTCCACTCAGCCAGCAAAATGATTTTTTTTTTAAAGCGCAGATCCGATCATATCATTCCTTTACTTAATAAATTTCAGTAGCTCTCTGTCACTTTCAAGATCAAAAATAAAGTCCTCTGTTCATAATTCAAACCCCTTCATCACCTTTGCCCTCTCCCCATACCCTTCAATCAATTGACAATGGCCTTCCTGCTGTTATTTATACAAGATCCTCTAGCTCCTCAGTGGGTATTTTCACTGGCTGTCACTCATGCATTAAATGTTCTCCCTCCTCATCATCCCCCCTCCTGGCTTCCTTCAAGTTCAAACTAAAATTCCATCTTCTTTAGGAAACTTTTCCCAAACCCCTCTTATTTCTAGTCCCTCTTTTCTGTTGATTATTCCCTATGTATCCTATGTATAGCTTGTTTATACATAATTATTAGCATGTTTTGTTTATAATAAAGGCAATCAATTCAACAGACATTTATTAACTGCCTAATATGTGCAAAGGACCAAACTAGATACTGAAAAATTGAAATACAGAATCATACATCCTATTCTCATTGCGTCAACAATCTAAGAAGCAATAAAATGAAAAGAAACTCAGTATTATATGCTTAATTATAATGAGATTCATTACTAGCATGATCTTTATTAAAATAATAACATTAGTCACTCATATAGTATTGAATTAAATGTTTATTAAATGTAAATACTAACATTTTTCTCTAACTCAGAAAACACAGTTTAAAGAATTGTGCAACACAGAGGATATCTCAAAAGTCTTAGTGAGCTTGAAGCTATTAGAATTTAAGCTTAAGCAGTTTAAGTTAAAATTTAGCATTAGCTTCAAACTGCACTAAATCTTTTCAATCCTGATCACTGGAATTACTCTTAAACACAATAATAATTAAGTAATTAACATTTTCAAATACAATAAATGTATCTTAATGGCAATATTTTTTATCACTTTTGTGAAGAACTAAGTTAAATGACCAAAGTGTATACCATGAATTATATATGGCAGAAGCCAGTAAAGGAGACAGGGATAAGAATGGAAAAAACTGGGGCAGCTAGGTGGCACAGTGGATAGAGCACTGACCCTGAAGTTAGGAGGACCTGAGTTCAAATCTGGCCTCAGACCAAACACTCACTTACTACATGTGTGACCCTGGGCAAGTCACTTAACCCCAACTGCCTGAAACAAACAAACAAAACAAAGAATGGATAAAACTGGACCTATAGTATAAAGAACTGTTTTTATCAATTCCATTAACATGTTAATATAATATTAATTGAATACTTTATTGTGCAGAAAACATTTTATGAAAGAAAAAGAATGCAGAAATTAGCAAAGTTTAAGAGTACCTGTGATTGACATTTCCTTGATGTATTGCTTCTGGAGGCACTCTCCAGGGACAGCTGATTCTACCTCCAGGAAGTCGTTTAAAATCAAACTGGCAACATATTTTAGGATCAGGCCCACAAGTGTGAGGGACATCATAACTATAAAATGGCATCATATGGCAAAATATATCTGTACTAGATCCCAAATCTAAAATTAAGAATACAACAATAAATATTATTAACAATGTTTCTCCAAAGTTCTCTAAAATTTTTATTTAATTTTTTGGGGGCAGGGTGTTTGAGAGGGGCATGGAACTACTGGAACTAATTTCACAGGTATAGTCAGTCCATGAACATTTACTAAGTGACTACTATTGTACGAGTAACTGCGCTAACCAACAGAGATACAAAAAGGGGCAAGACCGTGCCAGCCCTCAAGGAGAGCACAATGTAATAAGGGAGACAACTAGCAAATAAAAATATAGAAACAAGAAAAATATATAATACCTAGGAAATAACTAACAGAAGAAAGACACTAGAATTAAGAGGGGTTAGGAAAGGCTTCTTGCATATTAGGACATAAAGGAAGTCAGTGAAGGTGGTAGGCAAAGAGGAAGAGGGAAAGCATTCTAGGCAGGAGGGACAGCCAGAAAAAAAATCCCAGAGCCAAGAGATGGAGTGACTTGTGTATATAAAAGTAAGGAGGCCAGTGTCATTGAATGAAAGGGTACATGGCAGAAAATAAGGTGTAAAAATACTGGAAAGGTGGGAAGGGGGTTAGATTAGGAAGGGCTTTGAACAACAAAGGGTTTTTTATTTGATATTGGACGTGACAGGAAACCAATGGAATTTATTGAGTGAGGAGTGGAGAAGATGTGGTCAGACCAGTGCCACAGGAAAGTCATTTTGCTGGCTGGGTGGAGGAAGGATCAGAAGAGAGAGGCTGACCAACTAGCAGGCTATTAAAGTAATCAAAGTATGGTGTGCTGAGGTCCTCCACTAGAGTGGTGGCACTGTCAGAAAAGAAAAGGGGGCATATATGAAAGATTGTAAAGTAAAATAGGCCTTGACAACAGCTTCACTGTGGTGGGGAAGGGAAAGAGGGGGAAGATAAGTGAGGATGACTCTTAGGCTATGAGCTTGAGGGTCGGAGGATAGTGTTGCCCTCTTATATATGGAAAGGAGAAGGGGTTGGAGGAGAGTTTAGGGGGGGGAAAGATAATAAGTTCTGCTTTGGACATAGTTTAAGATGTTTACTGCTGGATATCCAGTTAGAGATGTCTGAAAGGTAGCTGGAGATGGGAGACTGGATGTCAGCGGAGAGATTCCAGTTCAATAATTCTCTCAGAAAAGTATGGATAGCTTTTTATTGGTAAGATTCCTTACTAGTGCAGCAAGGGGGAAAAAATGAAAAAAAATCTTGCAGAATTACAAAGTGTTTCAGAGTCTACACAAGACAATTTGCTTGATGTAATGGCATTTGGTAACTAAATCACAATTATAATATCAAAGCCTATATATTCAAGAAATCCAAAGGCAACAAATATTTGATGAAAATGCTTCAAAACAAGATAATATTTGATTTGTTCTGATAACCTACTTCATTGGTAAGCAAATGCTTCACATTTTATTAATAGTGTATCGTTCTGAGAATTTATTTGTAAAATATTATTACTTTTTATTTACGTATTACCTCTGCATAGAAAACAAAGGTGCTAAAGTTGTACATTTCTATCTTGGGTCTATAATCAATTTTTTAAATGTCTCTAAGATTGTAACATCATGTATTATCAACATATAGAGTCACATGTGCATATCTTAACACTGATTTTTTTGATAGGTGCTTTTAATCTTTAAATAAAAATTTAAAAAAAAACTCTTCAAACTTGAAAAATATTATCCAAACCCTCATATCAAGTACAACATTACTTTATCAGGTGCTGACTTGATAAAGTAGAATCTTCATTTTTGATAACTGTACATACCCCAATTTTGTCTCCAATAAAATTCTAGTGACTTTGTGGTTGCAAAGTACTTTTTAACTGAATAATGAACTCTCTGGATAAGCATACTGGAAAATCCAGTGCGTTTCAGAAGATATGCCATTGTTGGTGAATGTCCAAATGGATCAACAGCCCAGCCTGACCTAGGTTTCACTCCTATTGAAAAAAACAGTTAAAATTAATATCTTCTAAAAAACATTGGTAAATTAGATAAAATATATAGTATTAGTTAAAACATATATATGGGAGTGAGAACTAAAATATCACAATGCTAGCATAGCACCTGCTTTCTTCTTCTGAGTATGAGAGATAAGCCAACCCACATAATCTCTTAACCCTTGCCCAACAGCCCCCAGCTTACTTTTCCATTTTCTAGTAAGATATATTTTAATATTCAAAGCACAATGTCAAGGCAGATGAAAGCTCACTGAAATTAATACAGAAAACAGTAGTTTTAAGACTAGACAATGAAGTGACAATTTTGTTATATCTCTGCCTTCCCAATGCCGTACTTATTTACATTTCATAGTTTAGAAATTCAGTTTTAAGTAATAGCATGTAACAAAGTCCATGAAGTCAACCTTTCTACACTTAGATGCTTCACATTAAAAGAAGATATTTAGGCTGCCTCCTCTACTTTTCTAATAGTTCACATGTTCTCACATTTAAAAGAAAACAGGCAGAATAGCTGATAAAAATTTGTAAAGCATCCCACTTTACACAGTTCTATTTTACTATTCACTATTGATCCTATTTTACTAAATTTTCTCAATAAAGCATTTCTACATCACATGTGAAAATATCCATTAATCCACAATGAAATATTATTGTAATACACAAAATTTCAATTAACCTCAAAACAAAGAGATATCAATGTTTTATTGATAGCAGCATATTTCTAAGGAATGAACATGATTGTAGGATCACAGATTTAGAGTTGGAAAGAATATTAAGAGCCATCAATTCCAATCTTGTCATTTTCCTGGTAAAGAAATTGAGGTTGAGAAGGTTTAAGTGACTTGACCAGGGTACTACAAAGAGTAAATGACACAACTACAATCATAAGAGAGAACAACAGCATCTGGATATATTTAAGCTGCTTCAAAGATGAAGCTTCTAAAGATTGGAATAATAATACACAACAGATACATGTAATGTGTAACAGATTCAAAATTATATATGTGTTGTCTCTCTCCAACAGAGGAATAGAGTCTCTGCCCCAACTTGAGGGCAGAGGCTATTTTGTTTTTGCCCATGATATATCCCCATGGAAACGTGCATGTTTTCTTTTTTTCAGTAGTTTCAGTTATGTTGAAGTTTTCTTGGCAAAGATACAAGGAGTGGTTTGCCATTTCATTCTTTGCTTTTACAGATGAGGAAACTGAGGCAAACAGGGTTAAGTGACTTCACCAGGATCAGACAGCTAGTGTCAGAGGCTGAATTTATTTGAACTCAGGAAAATGAGTCTTCCTGAGTCCAGGCTTGGCACTGCATCCACTGTAACACCTAGCTGCCCGTATGAGATTATGAACTGGATCCTCTCCAGAGAGTTGCCTACCATGCAGCTCTCAAGATACATGGCAGCAGTAACAGTAAAAGGGTGGAGATATATCCCTCCTTGGACTCATTTGATCCACATGACATCGATGGAGGAGCAATTGGTCTTGGTCTTTGCAGACAGGATCTTTAAGGCTCTCATCGCCTCCAGATTCAGAACAGGAGGCAAAAGCCAGATGAGGACACTCGGAGCCACACTGTAAATCACTGCTGGAAGGGATGATTCATCCTTATCTTTCTTCGCCTTTTGTGGATTAACTCCTTAAGAAAAATGTATAGAACTAGTGCTTCCATTTTCTCTCATCTCACTATCTTCTTAACTCTCTAAAATCTGGCCTCTAACCTCATCATTCAAATGAAACTGCTCTTTCCAAAGTTACCAATGATCTCTTAATTGCCAAACCTCGTAGTTATTTCTCATTTCTCTATAGCTTCTGATACTATTGATCACCCTTCTTCTCCTTGATAATTTTTTTCTCTAGGTGTCTTCCCTGCCACTCTCTGTTTCTGTGTCATACCTGCCAAACATATACATGCTGTTTCCCCCATTAGAATGTACCCTCTTTAAGCACAGAGACTATTTTACCTTTTTCTTTGTATCCCTGATGCCTCGCACACTATGTAATACATAGTAGGTGCTTAATAAATGGTTCCTGAAAAACTACCGATTAAGAGATTGGATTTAGGTGGCCCCTAAAACTTCTCAAGGTCCCTTCCATCTATTGTTCTGCAATTATGGTTGAAAATTAAAAAGCTTTTGCATGAGCAAAATCAGTGCAGCTAGGTTAAGAAAGGAAACTATAAGCTAAGGAAAGACCTTTGTTGCAAATACTTATTTAAAGGTGTAAGATCCAAGATATATAGGAAATACAAATATAACAGATTAAAACATCATTAAGACTTGAGATAGTCTATCTTAAACCTGAAACCATGACTTTTGGGACTCCTTGTACAAGACCACAGTCATGACCCCAGCCTAGGACAAGAGCTCAGTAAACTCCAATCATTCCCTCCATTACCTTCAGGATCAAATATCAACTAATCTTGTCTACCATTTTAAACTTTTCACAACCTTACCCCCTCCTATCTTCTTGCTCTTCTGTTGTCTTTCTCTTCACATAATCAACAATCCATCTGTGTTGGCCTCCTCAAATATGACACACCCTTTCCCCTCTGAAAGGCTATTTACTGGCTGCCTCATACACCTGGAATGCTCTGCCTCTCACTTCCCTGGCTTTCTTCAACACCGAGCTCAAATCTCACCTTCTGTTGGAGATACTTCCTACTCTGATTCTAGAGCCTTCCTTTATTCTGAAACTGCCTTCCATCTATACGGCAATAATCCTGAATGCACAGTTGTATATATCCTGCTTGTCCACAGTTATCATCCTACCTGTCCATTAGACTATGAGCTTTTGAGGGAAAGGAATGTATTTTTGTCTTTCTTTGTATTCCAAGTGCTTAGCACAGTGTCCAGTACATAGTGAGCACTTTAAGAAGTATCTGTTGACTGACTGAAGCAAAACAAAAGTATGTTCACAGACACTAAAAGTCCTGCAACCTCATCAAGATGTGTATTACGAATGTTAAAGACTGTGCTGCATCCAAGCCTGCCTATTCGGCAAAACTCTTACCCAACTTCTCCCGTAAGTTAACCACAGAAAGTTCACCCAAAATGCTAGAATCAACTTTCTCTTGACTTTGCAAGGATACCAGGTAACTCAAGTACACAAGATGTCCATTGGGGGCAGCTAGGTGGCACAGTGGATAGAGCTCTAGTCTTGGAGTCAGGAGGACCTGAGTTCAAATCCAGCCTCTGACACTTACTGGCTGTGTGACCCTGGGCAAGTCACTTAACCCCAATTGCCTCACCAAAAAACAAAACAAAACAAAAAAATAAGCTATTAGTTATCCTTCACATTCACCCTGGACCTATTTTGTTTTTTCAGTCACAAATTTCTTTGATGATACTACTTCTTCATATATTTTTGTTCATTATGTATTTCAGTTCCACCACATTTCTCTGGGTAATCTTCAAATTAATTCTTTGTGACTACTGCTCTATCAAACACCACCAAAAGAATACTAGCATAGAAAACTGAGGCTTGGTTTCAGAGAGAAACCTGGGGTCATTAAAAAGAACTACAATTTCCTAAAGGTAACCCAGCACTCTCTCCTCTTATTCAATTCTGAGTTCATCTCCTTGTGCCCTTTCAGTGTTTATCCAACAAACACACACACACACACACACACACACACACACACACACCCCTACTCACAATGCACAAACACTATGACTGTCCACCCAACTACTCATATTCCCAACAACAGGAATTCTTCATCCACTTCGCTTTTTCTGTGTGTACAGCACTCTTGTGTGATTTGATCCAAAATGCTCTGTGGCTTTTCAGGGCTTGATGCAATCAGCACAAGGCTATCCACAAAACAGAACATAACAATGATTTCAACATCTATACTAAATCTCTCCTCAATTTGGTAGATGTGTTGGATCTCCTCCATAAGTGGGGAACATATTTGGCAAGAATGTGTCTCTCTGTTTTATACCTCGGGGGATGTGGTTATCAAAAATATCTATTATTCTATCCTTTAAAGAATCATAATCTTGACATATGCATTAGCAATACCTTACTCAAGGAGCATCAGGAAAAAGGCATTTTGTTCTTCCAAATCAAATGTGTTAAAATCAACAAATAAAAAGTACATAAAGACCTTGAGATCTCTACATTTTTCAGTCAATAGAAAAGACTTTGAGGATGGAAAAAAATGTCATCTACTAAGGAATACTGCATAAGAACACCTGCCTGTTCTCTTCTAATAATCAAGGATGGCTTTAGTGTACATGTATAGTATTTTAATAAAAATTTCATGTAGGTGGGAGACTAGGCACAAAGTTCAATAATAATGTATTAATGAGTGGTTTTATTAATAATTATGTTAATATAATCAACATTAATATAATGATAATAAGAGGTTTTTTCTGTGCATTGAGTTTTTTTTCCTTTTACCTTGGGAATTCATTAAGAAGCAGCACTTCTTAAACTGTGTGACCCACAATTTAAGAAGCACTGAAGGGATCATAAGTGGAAAAAGTTTAAGAAGCCTTGACCTAAAGCACAGATCTCCTCTGGTTAACCTTGGTCTAACCCAATTGTTTTTCTCATCTTCGTTTTCTTTAGTGCCATTTCTGCTCCATCTAAAAGTAGTAGTTCTCAGAGTGTAAATCATGGACTACAAGACCCTTTGGAAGGTCCATGGCTGAAAACTATTTTCATTAAAAGTAAGATGTTATTTGTCTCTTACTTACCAACTATTTATCTGTATATAACTAGATTTCTTCATATACTTCAACCAAAACAACATATCACAATAAACTGAATGCAGGACCCGATATGAAAATTCACCTATATTCCATTAAGCTAGCCATTAAAGGGGTCTGCAACAATATGTAAAACAATACACCTCTGCCCACTAATTTTTATTTTGGAAATCACAGGTGTTTTCTCAATTTGTACTAATACGAAAAGGATTATTGTCATTTTAAATGAATTCATATTCTATACATTTACGTTTTAATTTCTAATCTAGTTATTATTGATAGCTATAACCCATATAAAAATAAAAAGCTTAAGAGTGTAATAAAGACCTTAGACCAAAGAGTTTGAGAATCACCAATGTAGAAGTATAATCAGGACAGTAATTTTCTTAATTGTTCAGGCATTTTCAGTCTTGTCTGACTCTTTGTAATCCCATTAGGGTTTTCTTTGTAAAGATACTGGAGTGATTTGCCATTTCCTTCTCCTGCTCATCTTACAAATGAGGAAACTGAGGCAAACAGGGTTAAGTGACTTGCCCAGGGTCACACATCTAGTAAGTGTCTGAGACCAGATTTGAACTCAAGAAAAAGCTTCCTGACTCCAGGCCTGGTGCTCTATCCACTATACCACCTAGCTGCCAGGATATTAATAATAAAGATCAAATATGGTGGTTGCACTTCCCTTTTATAGTGAAAAGTTCCTCACAAAAGTCTTTCAAGATCTTTTTTATTTTTTTATACAAAAAAAATGGCAAGGTGAAAAATATCATGTACCCACCTAGGTTTCTTTCTAGCCATTGATGTCCTTCAATAAGTTGATCAATTAATGCAAAGTAATGTGCAGATGCTTCATCAGGCATGACCCATCCACCTGTCACAATTTCGAGCTGTCCATTTGCAATTAAACTGGAAAAAAAAAAGTTTGCATTAAAAACTGCATTCAGAATTCAATGTTTGTACAATGTCAAGCATTTGTTAAGAACTTTTAATGTAATAAGCACTGCAGAAATACATAGAAAAAGGAAAAAATTCTTGCTCTCAAGGAGCTCACCCTAATTGAAAGAAGCAATACATAAAGTTTAGCTGTAGAGCAGATGGAAAGGCCCAGGAATCCTTAAGCTACTCAGTAGTTGAATGACAATGCAAGAGTTTACACAGAATAGAAGCAGGACTGGAGCTAATGACCAGAGATCCTTAAGATGCAGAGACAAAACTGATACTAAGTCCTGGAAGACCTTAGAAGGGAATGGCATGACACATAAAATGATTACGTTGTTAAGAGATTCCACTTTTCTGGATGGAACAGAGTTAGTAAATCCTACCTCATCCATCCCTGTAAGAAATAAAGGTGGGTTCTGGGTAGCATTTACTGGGGCAGGGATTCAAGAGGGAAGATAAGGAGTAGGGCTGCCTGGAAAAACTCCTTATCTTCCCTCTTCAATCAGCCCTCCTAGATATGTTCAGGGACAGACCACCAAGTGCAAGGTGGAAGGGGTGGAGGGGGGAGAGAAGAAAATGTAAGGAGAAAAGAGTGTCCCAGGTTCTTTTTTCTCTTGGGCTTCTTTGATGGGTTCTGGGATTATTCTGGAGTGAAAGATAAGGATAAAAGGAAGACAAAAGGTACAAGAGGTGGAGAACAGAAGCAGAATGCATCAAGCCTTGGAGCTGAGCACAATCCTCTCTCACCACCCTCTTCTTCACTGTAAAGAGGGAGTGGGAAGCAACAAAAGGAAAAGAGTAGAAGATAATAGGGTGGAGGAAAATAAATTAAGGATCACAACCATGATTGGGAACAGGATGAACTGATCACTCTGACAGAAGAGTGGCTTAGAAAGCAGAAGTCAACACATTAACAGTATCATTTACACACATCTGCCTGGATCAACTGTGTAAGACTTGGCTACTTTGATCAAGAAAATGATTTAAGATAATTCTGAAGACCCATGATGAAAAATGCAATCTACCTCCAAAGAACTGATAAACTCTGAATGAAGACTGAAACATGCTTTTTAAATTATCTTTATTTTTATTGTTTTATTTTGTATTTCCTTTTATGTGGCCAATACGGAAATAAATTCTATGACTTCATATGTATAATCCTAACAAATTGCTTATCTTCTGGGGGGGGGTAGGGCAGGAAAGAGAGAATTTGGAACTCTAAATTTTAAAAATTTTTTTTCATGTAATTAAGAAAGCTTTAATAAAATAAGAACAATTTGAAAAAACATGAAAAAAGATTCATAGAGTTAAAATAAGGGGATGGAGGCAAAATCTATTATGCTCCTACTGAATGCCTAAAGGTAAGGGTAGCAATCATGATCTGAGAAAAAAAAAACAAAAAAAAAACCACATTAAAAGAAATAAATAGCAAAACTACATTTCACTCAGTGGTACCACAAATAATGAATTAAAAGCAATACTAAAAACATTATGCATCAGTTAACTTAGCATTCTAAATACTTAAATACTAAATATATTACAGGGAGAAATAAACTGTAAAACTATAATACAAAAGGATCTCAATGCACTCACTTCAGACCTATACAAATTTAAACCCCCCAAAAAAATATGCCCCCCCAAAAAGAATTTTAGAGAGGTTGGATATAATAGATCATTAATAATTACTTAACAGGTAACAGAAAGGAGAATACATATTCATCAGTTATGGAAAGAACCTTTATAAAACTTAACCAAACCAATTTTTACACAAACACAAAAAATCAGAAATGTCAACCACATCTTTTATTGATGACAAAGCATCTTTCTATAATAGTGTATTCCTTTTACTATCCCTTCTCTTTTCACTCTTAAAACCCTCAGAACAAAATCAATATAGCCACAGGACCTTCATTTTACTTAACTCCCTTAATATCCTTTGAACATATCCCTCCAATTAGAATGCTACCAAAACATCATTCATCTTCTTCCCATAAGTCAAATGTTTCTCTTTCTACATTTTGCTAGACTCTCAATTTTCATATCAAATTTCCTACTCAGCTCTGGTCTTTTCATCAATAATGCCTGAAACTCATCTATTCCAATAAAGGGAACATTTTCCCCCATGGAGGATATATCCAAGCTTTGCATGGCAAACTATTACTGGTTGTAAGCCTCTTTTTTTTTTTTTTAATCTTTTGGAATATGGTATTCCAAGATCTCCTCTAGTTTTGGTAAAAGCTGTCAGGTCTTTGTGATTCAGACTGTTCCTTAGTACTTGAACTGTGTATGTGTGGATGCAGCAGTTCTTGTTTACTTGTGTTTTTAAACATAGAAGCTCAAGATGTTGGCTATCACATTCCTAGGACATTTCCTTTTGGGAGGTGACCAGAGGATTTTTTTTTCCTATGTTTACTTAGGCTTCTGATCCCTTGGTAAACTAGTTCTACTTGTTAGTTCCCTCTTCTCTCAAGTCCCTTGCCCCTTTTTATCCTATTAGAGCATTTGCCTGTCAAAACTGAGATTTGAATTACTTCTACCATCTGCTGCCTTCATTCCTATATGTGGCTGAACAAAGCCAGAAAAAATCTCAAATCTTTGTTAATCAATCTTGCTGTTGTTCATTTCTTCAGCTATATCTGACTCCTCATGACCCACAGACTATATCATGCCAGGCCCTTCTATCCTCAACTATCTCCCAAAGTCTATCCAAGTTCATGTCTGGTGCTTCCATGACACTATCTATCCATCTTGTCCTCTGCCTTCCTTTTCTCATTTTGCTTTCAATCTTTCACATCAGGGTCTTTCCTAATGAATCCTGTCATCTCCTTATGTAGCCAAAGTATTTCAGCTTTATTATTTCTCCTTCCAATGAGTAGTCTGAATTTCTTTAAGAACTAACTGATTTGACTGGGTCTGCTACAAATTTATGTTATATAATCTAATCTGGACTCTCACTAAGGCAAGGCAATCTTTTTACACTTCAACAAATGACTATCCCACACTCAACAAAGTGGTTTTCCCCAAACCTTTTCTTTCCTCCTCAAACTTCTCATAACTGCCCTATCTACTCTCTCAGCTGAGAACTTTGCCTCATATTTCACTGAAAAAAAATAACACCATTTGTGGAGAACTCCCTCTTTACATCACTCAGATGCCTTCCACTACTATTTCTCAAAGCTATTTGTCCAGTTCTAATTTCTCTATCTTCAGTCTTCATGCCCAAAACTGAAATCATTATCTTTTCCAAAAAACCTTCTAATTTCCTACCTTCTCAACTGTTGTTGAAGGTACCATTGTGCTATTGGTCACCTAGCTTACAAATTAGGTGTCACCCTTGACTTATCTCTTTCCTCAGATCCAATCAGGTATAAATCTTATAAATTTTAACTTCATAACAACTGTTATGATGAAAGACAAATGATGAGTATTCCTGACTCCAGGCCCATCACCCTATCCACAGAGCAACCTAGCTGCCCCATGTGTGAAATACTTAATTTATTATCTATGGTGCCTTTAAATACAATGTAATTTCCTTGTTTTTCACTTTTAACCATATCTATTTTCACTCATGTCTTACCTGTGATTACCACCTCTGCTTTTCTGGAGTCACCTGGAGCACAATCATTCTACTCCAGCATCTCATTTTCACTCTGTAACACTCGTTACAAGAAATACAATTTGAATACAATTTTTAGATTATGTTTTCTAATTCACTGTGCTATCCACTCCTGTTTTATGAGTGAATTTGTTCCATTCACATTAACAGTTAGGATTGTCCATTGTGAGTTTTTTTCCCCTTTTTCACATACACTTAGGTTGTCTTCTCTTAACCCTCCACTTCTCCATTTACAAAGAAAAATAAACTGGAGAAAGCAAGGAAATGAGATTACACTAGTAAACAATAATTAGAGAGCTCCTACACTGTCACCCTTTAATGCTTTCACTATCATTTTTAAGAATTTCCTTTGTAATTATCTCCTTCTTTTCCCTTACATTCCTCTCTTCTACTCCCTGTCCCAAAATATTTCCCAGCACTCTATAAGGTACTTCAACACCAAGTTCTTAGTATAAGTATGTACTTTCTACCTTCTTTTGCTTGGTTTAGATAAAACTGAGGTTCATAAAAGTCTATCTTCCCCAACTCCCATCTCCCATGTATATATATCCATCTCCTTCTTCTGATAAAATCCTAATTATGTGAAATAATGAGGTCATCAAACTCCTTTTATTTCTTCTCTATTTTTAACTCCTTACTTTCTCAAAGAAAACCAAAAAGCATAAAGCCACACAAATTCCCAGAATTTGTCTTTCTTTGTTCACTCGAAGATAGTGGGATATAAGTGTATGTATGTATACACACACACACACACACACGCATACATACATCTAGAGAAAGACACATGGATATATGACATAAAGATCTCTTCTCCTCTTACTATTATTAAACATAATTATCACTTATCCCATTCAAACTACTTAAATGAATTTATTTCATTTGCTTTTTTCTTCTCACTTGCTTTTACATTTCAAAGATTCTTAGCAGGAATATTTCTAAGTTCCCTACTCTATTAAAGATTCTTTTTTTAAAATTTAGGATTATATGTAATTTTGCAAAATAAGTTATTCTAGGTAACCCATTTCTCTTGATTTTTGGCAAGTCTTATTTGTAGATTTTCTTTTTTTTCTACTAATATATAATACTGTGTGATGCTTTGCTGACTATGGTACCTTTATATTTGATTTGTTTTCTTTCTTTTTTTTCCTAGTTGCTTCTTGTTTTGACCAGGAAGCTATGAATTTAGGCTAAGATTTTCAAGGTATATTCAAATTTGGAAATTCTTTACGGGAGTGACCTGTGGATTCTATTGTCATTTTGCCTTCTACTTCATTCCATTCCCTCTCCTCCAAGAGATTCCCCCATTTATCATCCTCACTCTGTCACTTATTTTCAGTCTCAGCCTACAAAT